TTCAAATGAAGGCAAAAAAAACCCAACAAACTAGGAAAAACATAATCCCTCTTGACCCCCAAGTAGCAGTCAGATGTATCCTTGGATCAAGAAGCTATTACCCTACAGTTGAAAAATTATATAATTGAATATTTTGTTTTTGCAAGTATGCATCTAATTGCTGTTTGAAAATCTGTACAGACTCTGATAAAACCACTTCTTCTGGCAGAGAATTTCTCATCCTTATTGTTCTTACAGTAAAACAATAATTTCCTTTGCCTACCAGTTGCAACAAGTGGTGTGTAAAAACGTTGTAGTAAGCAGGGATCTTTTTCACTGAGAGAAAGCAAATATAAGAAAAAAAAATTATGTAGATTTATTAACAAAGTTGATTTGCATTAACAATTAAACTGATCAGCCACAACAGGTGGAGTGTATAACATTGATTATATGGTTACAGCGGCACCTGTCAAGCTGTAGGATATATTAGGCAGCAAGTAAACAGTCAGTAAATTTTATGTGTTGGAAGCATGAAAAATGAGCAAGTGAAAACATCTCAGTGACTTTGTCAAGGGCCAAATAGTGATGGCTAGACGACAGGGTCAGAGCATCTCCAAAACAGCAATTCTTTCCTTGCACCACTTTTGGTAGCACCTACCAAAAGTGGTGCAAGAAAAGACAACCAGTGAACCGGTGTCCGGGTCGTAGTTGCCCAAGGCTCACTGATGCATGTGTGAAGCAAAGGCTAGCCCTTGTGGTCCGATCACACAGCAGAGGAGTTACTGTAGCTCAAATTTCTGAAAAGCTTAATGCTGGCCATGACAGAAAAGAGTCTGAACACACAGTGATTTTCAGCTTGCTGCATATAGAGCTGTAAAGCCACAGATCAGTTCAGTGTCCCCATGATCTCCACTGCCAGAAGCAACTTCTTTTTTTTTTAAATAGCGTTTTTATTAGCAGTTAAAAATAAATAAATTTAGCGTCTGCGTAATGGGGGATTCCACACCCAGAGCGTGTGCGACCCCTGTCGAGCGGTGCCAGATGTATGCGTGCAGTGTCCTGTTTGTGCTTTCCCTATCCAGACTAGCCCACAATTTGTTAGAGGGGGCCGTGTGCCATTCTCGAATCCTCTGGAGCACTGTTGCTTGGAAGTACTTCCGAAAGTCCGGCAAAGCCAGGCCGCCCCATGGTTTGGGCAGGCAAAATCTGTTGTGTCTGAGCCTCGGCCTTCCTGCTCTCAAGACATATTTTGTTACCGCTGTTTTGAGCTTGGTAAAAAAGTCAGGTGGCAGGTGCAAGGGGATGGTGTGAAGCAATAGAGAAGGCGGGGGAGGATGTTCATTTTGATCACCGCTATGCGACCTTGCCAGGAGATGTGGTTGTACGACCATTTCTTCAGGTCTTTCAGTATGTTGCGAAGGAGGGGTGTGTAATTCCTGGTGTGTGTTTTGTCCGGGTTGCGGGGGAGCCATATTCCCAGGTGGCGAATCTGTTCCATGCACCAGTGGAAAGGGTAATTTTGTTGGAGCCTCACCTGTGTGTTCCTTGCGGTGCGTACTGCCAGTATTTCACATTTTTCTTGGTTTAGCTTAAATCCTGATATCCGTCCATATCGCTCGAACTCACCCAGGAGGGGCTGGCAGTGTGGTCTGAAGCTCTGCAACGAAAAAGAACATGTCGTCCACATACGCGGCCACCTTATGTATCTGGTCTTTCTGTTTGAACCCCCGTATCTCTGGTATCTGTCTTATCCTGTCCAGGAACGGATCCAAAGTGAGGGCAAAAAGAAGGGGGGACAATGGGCAGCCCTGTCTAGTGCCATTGTGGATTTCAAAGCTGTCGATAAGCGCTCCGTTTACAAGCACTCTGGCAGTTGGGTCGGTGTAGAGTGGCGTGATCCAGGCCCATTGCCGCCAGCGTTGCCGTCATGTTGTGCTTCCCTATTTTTCTGCGCTGATATCCGAATGAGAAGCCCCCTGAGGACGCTCTTGTGCGCCTCCCACAGGGTCAGTGCGGAGGTATCTCCGGTTTCGTTTTCAGTGAAGTAGTTATTCAGTTGTTCCACTAGCTGTGCCTGTATCGTTACGTCGGAGAGGAGCGATTCATTTAATCGCCAGGTAGTCCGGGTTGGTTTGTATACGGTTGAATCCACAAGCATGTATACCGCGCTATGATCTGACCACGGAGTAGGGCGGATTTCCGCCTCCAGTAGTCTTTGTAGACCTTCTTTCTGGATAAAGAGATAATCTATTCTGGAGTACCTATGGTGCATGGCCGAGTAGTGTGCGTGTAGACCCGATCATCCGGGTGTAAGATTCTCCATGCATCCACAAGTCGCAGGTCACGTACAGTCTTCCGGATCGTCCGGATGGCTGTTTGCGGGATACTGCTATGTCCTGTTGACGAATCTGAGATTGGGTCTAGGGGTGTGTTAAAGTCTCCCCCCACTATGAGGGCTCCTTCCGTGAAGTTGGCGAGTTTGAGGAGTGTATTGTGGAGGAATTTCGCCTGTTTGGTCTTTGGGGCGTATATGCGAATGTGTATGTCTTCTGGGCTACCGTTCCCTTTATGAACAGGTATCAGCCATTCGGGTCGGCCATCGTATCGCTCCGGGTGAAGTGGAGGTTGTTGGCCAGGAGAATCGCCACTCCTGCTTTGCGTGCCGTTGGGTGAGTGCTGTGAAGGCTGTCCGGGAAGCGTCTATCTGTCAATTGTTGTGTTTCTCCCCTCTCCCCTCTCCCTCCCCTCTCCACCATCTCTCTATTCCCCTCACCATCTCTGCCCCCCTTTCTCTGTCTCTCCCCATCCCCCCTTCCCCAGTGTCTCTCCCCTCTCCCCATCTCTCTCCCTCCCCCTCCATCATATCTCTATTCCATCACCATCTCTGCCCCTTCTATGTGTCTCCCCTCCTACCCATCTCCCCTTCCCCTGTGTCTCCTCTCCCATCTCTCTCCCTCCCCTCCACCATCTCTCTATTCCCTCACCATTCCTGTGTCTCTCCCTCTTCCTCCCCCCTCCATCTCCCTATTCCCTCACCATCTCTGCCTCTCCTCTCCCCATCTCTCCCTTCCCTTTCCTGTGTCTCTCCCCTCTCCTCCTCCATCATCTCTATATTCCTCACCATCTCTGCCCACCCCTTTCACTGTGTCTCCCCATCCCCTTCCCTGTGTCTCTCCTCTCCCCATCTCTCTCTCCCTCCTTCCATCTCTCTATTCCCTCACCATCTCCCCATCTCTCCCCTTCCGTGTCTCTCCCTCCTCCCCCTCCACCATCTCTCTATTCCTCACCATCTCTGCCCCTTTCTCTGTCTCTCCTCTCCCCATCCCACTTCCCTGTGTCTCTCCCCTCTCCCCATCTCTCTCCCTCCCCTCCATCATCTCTCTATTCCCTCACCATCTCTGCCCCTCTTTCTGTGTCTCTCCCCATCTCTCCCCTTCCTGTGTGTCTCCTCTCCCCATCTCTCTCCTCCCTCCTCCATCTCTCTATTCCCTCACCATCTCCCCCATCTCTCCCCTTCCTGTGTCTCTCCTGTCCCTCCCCCTCCACCATCTCTCTATTCCCTCATCTCTGCCCCCCTTTCTCTGTCATCTCTCATTTCTCCCTCTTTGTGTCTCTCTTCCCCCTCTGCCTCTTTCACCCCCTTTCCCTGTGTCTCTCCCTCCTCCCCGTCCCTTTCTCTGTGTCTCTCCCCTCTCCCCCCTTAGATGCGTTTCCTGCAGCAATGCTATGGATACATGGTGATTTTTCAGTTCCCGTAGGAGGTGCCTGCGCTTCTCTGGGGTGCTCAGTCCCCTACAGTTTTATGTGACGACTCGGAAGGGGGCAGCTGTGACTGCCATGTCGCTAAGTCCTCGAGGTACTTGGGTTCCGGGTGTGTCAGTCGCTGTGCTGGGAGGTTTCCCTTTGCGGGTACTGATGATGGAGGTGTGGTAGTAAGAAAGAAATATGGGTAAGGAGTGGAGATGTTGTTTTTTTTTTTTGGGGGGGGGCGTGGTTTTCCCAGTCCAGTAGTTGGGTGGAACACAGGTCCTGTCTGGGGGTGGTATGTCATGAGGTTAACGTGTCGAGTACCTAACTGAACATAAGTAACATAACTGAAAAGTAACATAACTGAACCAAAGAGGTATATGTATAGTTTCAGAGTTCATTTGCACAGTGTCCGGCGTCCCCTCCCGGCCCACCCGCCCAAATATGTGCACTGTAGCTGCCTCGGGGGGTCTCTCCATCATCTCCCATTAGATCTGGTATCCTCCCGGTCCATCAGCCCTAGCAGTTGATGTGATCGCTATGACAATGGGAGTGCCCCCAGTCTCCGTAATGACCCTTTAGTGTGAGCTGACGGGCACCAGTGTCTCCTTTAGCGGTGCCCTCCCCCGGTGGCCCCCCTCCCAAAAGGGATTCACGAGGGCCGTGGGCCAGTGGGCCAGAGTTCATGTCCCTGCTAAGTGTCTCATGGGTGCCGGAGGGTTTAGCGTATGTGCTAGGGCCAGTGTCCACGTATGTGTGTGGAATGAGACTTATCTGGTGTCTGACATCTTCTGGTAGCCGGGGGCCTCTGGGTTCCTCCTGCGGATTCCCCCCCTGCATAGGGTTAGGCCAGCGAGGGGAGGGAGGTGGGACAGCCGGGTCGGCTGCTCTCACTCCTCCGATTCGGTGGGCGCTAGCTGTCTGCGAGCTGTAGGGCGCCGTGGTGCACCATCTCTGCGTCGCCATTGTTGTCTCGGCGTCTGTGGGCCTGTTCTCTGTTCTGGTGGACCCAGGACCCAGTTGGTGACGTCCGTAGGTGGTAGTCCTAGACGCTGCAGGAATCTGGGTGCTTCCTCCGGCAAGCGTAGGGGCACCCATTAATTTTGGTGCCTGGCTAGGAGAGCAAAAGGGTAGCCCCATTTATATGGGATTCCCTCTCCTGGAGTTGTGATGTGATCGGCCTCAGGGTCAGGGGTCAGGGGTGAGAGGTCCTGGTATAGAGCCACTTCTGTGTCTTGGAATATCCACGTTGGCTTTGGCCATGATCTTTTCTTTTAACTTATATTGGTGCATACAGCATATAATATCTTGTGGCGTCCCATCAGTTGTGCGTAGCCTGTTAGCTCTGTGCGCCCGTCAAACTTAATTGTGGCCGGGGCTTCAGCTCCTAGGATTCCTCTGAAAAGTGTGCGCAGTATAGCCTCCACATCTTCCTCGCCGGCTGGTTCCGGCAGGCCACGCACTCTGCGGCCTCTGTTGTCTAGGTCCTCGGTGTGACGTCTCAGGGTGAGCAGCATATTCCCCTGCCTGGTTATGGCAAGAGTAGAGGCCTCAGCTTGAGCTGTATAAGCCTGTGTGGTAGCTTCCAGGTGCTGCAGCCTGCTGTAATGCTCCGTCATGTCTGACCGGAGCGCGATTACCTCTGTGCGGATCGCTGCATGAAGGGTATCAGAGAGGCTGCGGAGGTCATCTTTATTGACCATGTTTGCGGCAAGTGCCCTGAAATCAACACTGATGTCCGCCAGGGTGGTTTCATCGCCATCCGACATCATTGAGCGGGTCAGTGAGTCGGCCATACTGGCGCCCGCGGCCTCCTGGAGCGTGCTCGTTGCGGGTGTCAGAAACCCGTCCATGGGTCCGGCTGGGGTGCTAGGGGGGTCTGGGAGCCATCTAGGCATTTTGTATGCCTCATCCTCGTGCCTTGCTGTAGTTTCAGCGTGTTGTGAGTTCTTGTGGGTCGGAGCTCCGTGCCTAAGCTGCCATTTTCCTCTGTGTCCAGGCCACGCCCAGTCTGCCAGAAGCAATTTCAATGTGGACATGAATGTCATAACTTGACCATGAAGCAATGGAAGAAGGTTGCCTGGTCTGATGAATCACATTTATTTTTAGATCAGGTAGATGTCCCTCTTAGATGAGGTGGTGTGTGTCATTTACCTGTAAAAGGCATGGCAGCATGGGAAGACCAATTCTATTTATCTATCTATCTGCAATGTATTTTTTACACCCACCTGGCTTCCTGTGGTTACCTGAGTTCTCTTATTACTGCTTTTTATGACATGCATATCTCAAGTGAAACTTTGAAGGGATCTTCTTGGGTATTTTAACTCAAGAAATCATGTTTCCACAACTATGCTTGAGTTTTTGACATGCAAATGAGCACAGATCGACATTGTGTTTCAGACTTCATACTCCATTTCTGTTTTAAACACAGGTTCTTTGTTTTTTCCAAAGCAAAGCATGGGTTTAGATCCAAAAGGTTCAGTGACAAGAAATCAACCACGGACTGAAGTTTTGATCTTGTGGGTCTCATCAATAAGGTGCAGTTTCTGGTCTGGAAGTTGGTAGGTACCAAAAACCTATATGTTTGGATATATCGGATTTGAAAAATAAAAGTTGATGAGAAATGCTTTTTATTTTACTATTTCCATGCTTGCAGCACTAGCAGCCATTGAGCAGATAGTTAAAAAGTAAGAGCCTATAGGGGTCAATAATTAGTATAAGATAGGTTTAATATTCCCCTTATGCCCCACCTGCAGCATGGCATTATTGTAGACAGGCTAAAGAGGCTGCCAAAAATTTCCACGCTCCTCTTCCCAATTTTTCAGTGTGGCTATGAGCATGCAGATCCCAATATTATATCCCAATATTATATCGCAATATTATATCTTAGTTCTGTGGCCACTCACATTACAAACTGTGCATTTGGAGGTTCAATGAAAGATAGGTCAGAGTATCCTACAAAGGTCTCAGCCACCTCCTTAGCTGTGCTAAAGTCATTGTAGGTAGGAGGTATAGGATTTAACAGGGGGTGTTTGAAGAGATACACAATGGGGACAGGGAGGGAAAAGGGACACAAGTGAATCATGGGGCTCATACAACACTTTACAGGATAAGGTGCTGAAATTACAAAGAAGGGAGTGATGTGGATGACAAGGGCTAAGGAAACACATAAGTGGAGGTGATGAGGGCTGTAGAGACAAACAAGATACCACCAGACAATTCCACCCTGTTTCTAACTGCCTTGCAGGTACAAACTATGTAAAGTGTCTCCTTCACTGTACCTCCATTTTGGCACTGGATATTGGTACTCTGCTGCATTGATCATTTTCTGAAGAGAAAAAATAAAGCTTACCTTTTACTCACCTGCTTGAGTCTGGACAATTATTCCTTTTGGGGATCTGGTGTAGCTGCATTTAAAATCCCACCAT